GAGGAGCAGCCCCTGCGATCTTCTTCTTCATCACCGCAACAGTCTACTCCGCCTCTCGGAGTCGTCGGGACGGGCTCGACGGCCGATATTACTCCTTCGCCGCGTCATTACGTCGGGACTGACGGTTCAGCAGCCACCTACGAGGACTCTATGGTTAAGGCCATGCGTAGGATGGCTGCCCGCAACCTCGACTTCGAAGGTATACTCTCTCGCAAATCTTTTATGTCTTTTGATAAATCCAAAGTATCTTCAAATATCACTAGACTTGGAGTGTCACTAGGACGCAATGAGAAAGAGATAGACTTTTTGGTTAGGGCCCTTAAATAAGTGGATTTCGACCGGCTTACGCTTGCTCCTAAGTTGTCGAGCTTTGTTGACACTCTCGTGTCGGATGAGGATGATGATGATGCTGATGCCAATCATGAAGGCAAGCTTCTCTCTCATTTGGTTAAAGACACGACTAAAGAAGACCTTGACGATACTGTACGCGACACTACGCTTTGTGAGCTTGTCGCGTAGGTTCGTAAGAAAAAGTCTAACTCAGGAAAGAAAAGAGGGCGCTCTTCTAAGAAGGCAAAGGTCTCTAAACAAAAAATTGGTTCAGCATGAGAGGCATGTTTAGGAATAGCAGAGGTCTAGGTGACTTGGCTAAACACAAACACATTGCCGATTGTGTAAAGGATCATGTATTGGACTTCGTGGCTATCACTGAGGCGCGCAAACGTGACTTTCCAACACGTGATCTGGACCACTTCTCATGTGGTTTAGATTACGAATGGCATGTCTTACCGCCGACTGGGAGGTCCAGTGGAATATTGCTAGGTATTAACTCTATGTACTTGCAACTATTGTCCACGTCAAAGGGGGAGTATCATATCAAATTCAACCTTCAAAACAAGTCCGACAATTTCCTTTGGAGCCTGGCAGCAGTATATGGCGCCACTCAAGAGGAGTTTAAGTCTGCATTTCTAAAAGAACTTGTTAATACCTGTCGAGACAATCCCCACCCCATGTTAATCGGGGGGGATTTTAATATCCTTCGATATCAGCAGGAAAAAAACAATGCCCGGTTTGATACAAGGTGGCCTTTCCTCCTTAATGCTGTTATTGACAGTCTGGATCTGAGGGAGATCACGATGTCTGGTCGTCAATATACCTGGGCCAATAACCGATCGGTGCCAACCTTTGAAAAACTTGACCGGGTGCTAGTTACCACCGACTGGGAATATAAATATCCCCTAGCCTCGATTCGGGCATTAAAAAGAATTGAGGCCTTATTGGATCACGCTCCATTGCTCACCGATTTTGGACAACCAATCCCAAGTTCTAACCGTCACCAATTTAAATTTGAATTGGGATGGCTCACTAGAGAGGGATTTCATGACCTGGTTAAGAAAGTGTGGGCGCGTCTGCCTCGCGGTAACACACCCATTCAACGACGGAATAATCGAATTCGCGCATTGTGTCGATTCCTTCGTGGATGGGCCAAGCATACTGCTGGCATCTACAAAAAAGAAAAACTGCGACTATGTACCTTAACTGATTCCCTTGATAAAATAGCAGAGGTGAGGCCTCTGTCTGTAGTTGAGATTGAGCAAAAAAGCAATCTAAATGAACAGATAGCCCGCCTACTACGCGAGGAAGAGATTAAATGGTACCAACGTTGCAAGGCAGATTCGCTTGTGCAAGGTGATGATAATACGAAATACTTTCAAATGCTTGCCAATGGCAGACATAGAAAGAAACACATATTCGCCCTTGACCAGGAGGAAGGCCGAATTGACGGGGACGTACCACTTAGAACTTTTATTACTAAGTATTACAAAGAGCTTTTTGGACCTTCAGCTGAATCGAATTTTCAGCTGGATGAATCCATTACTCATGACATTCCTCAAGTTACGGAAGCGGAAAATGAATTCCTAACCTCCCCGTTCTCTGAGGAGGAAATTTGAACTGCGGTGTTTCAAATGGAACACAACAAGGCTCCGGGTCTGGATGGCTTTCCCGCAGAGTTCTATCAATGTTTTTGGGACGTCATTAAGGCAGACTTGGTTCAGTTGTTTAACCAACTGCATGCTAAAGACCTTGACATTTCTCGTTTAAACTTTGGGGAAATTATCCTATTGCCTAAGATTAAGGAGGCTAGTCGTATTCAACAATATCGACTGATTTGCCTTCTGAATGTAAGTTTTAAAATCTTTACGAAGGTCGCAACTAATCGGTTGAACGGGGTGGCTGTCCATGTCGTAAAACCCACTCAAACAGCATTTATGCAAGGCCGCAACATATTAGATGGAGTGGTCGTCTTGCACGAAACTGTACATGAGCTTCACCGAAAAAAGTCGAATGGTGTCATTCTTAAAATAGATTTTGAAAAAGCCTATGATAAGGTTAAGTGGCCCTTTCTATTGCAAACTTTGCGCATGAAGGGGTTTTCACAAAAATGGTGTCATTGGGTAGAGAGCTTTGTCTCTGGAGGCAGTGTGGCCATAAAAGTTAGTGATGACGTTGGCAACATTTTTCAGACAAGGAAGGGGCTTTGCCAAGGGGACCCCGCTTCTCCTATTTTGTTTAACATAGTGGCCGACATGCTAGCTACCCTTGTTGAGCGGGCTAAGCTGGACGGTCAAATTAGTGGTGTCATTCCACACTTGGTAGAAGATGGTCTATCTATTCTATAATATGTGGATGACACTATTCTATTCATGGATCATGATCTAGATAAGGCAAGAAATCTCAAGTTGCTCTTATGTGCTTTTGAGGAACTTTCTGGTCTCAAAATTAATTTTCATAAGAGCGAACTTTTTTGCTTTGGCGATGCTGCAGAATCAGCACCTGAGTATGCTGAGATTTTTGGATGCCGGCTCGGGCAGTTTTCAATTCGATATCTGGGTATTCCTATACACTATCAGCGCTTAACTATCGCTGAGTGGAAACATGTGTGGAAGAGAGACTTGAGAAACGCTTAGCCAGTTGGAAGGCCAAGCTCTTGTCTTACGGAGGACGATTGATCTTGATCAATTCAGTTCTAAGCAACATGGTTTTATACATGTTGTCCTTCTTCCACCTACCGAAAGGGGTTCTCCAGCGACTAGACTACTTTAGATCTAGATTTTTTTGGCAATGCGATAACGAATCCAAGATATATCGACTGGCTAGGTGGAGCGTATTATGCAGACCAAAAAGTCAAGGGGGCTGGGAATCCAAGACCTGGAGATTAAAAACATTGCTCTTCTCAGCAAGTGGGTTTACAAACTACTCACTGAGAATGGAGTATGGCAGGAAATCATTTGCAACAAGTATGTGGGATCCAATGCCATTTCTCAAGTTCATTGGAAACCTGGGGATTCGCATTTCTGGAGTGGTGTGATGAAGGTCAAGGAATTCTTTTTCCAATTTGGGACCTTCTCAGTTAGGGATGGTTCTCAGGTTCGATTCTGGGAAGATATCTGGCTAGGGAATAACCCACTAATGGTGCAATATCCGAGCTTGTACATGATTGTTAGACATAAATTTGTCACAATCAAACAAGTTTTAGGACAAGAAAACCCTGATATTTCTTTCCGTAGGGACCTTTTTGGCCCTCGCCTGGCAGCATGGAATGAATTACTCACTCGCACGGAGGACATTCAACTGTCAGGTGAGCCGGACATTTTTCGATGGAACTTACATCAGATTGGCAAATTTTCAGTCAAATCCATGTATGATGCAATGGTTCATTGTGATGTTCCAGTTGATAACAGGAAATTGTGGAAGCTCAAAATCCCTTTAAGAGTGAAGATTTTCCTCTGGTTTCTTAACAGAGGAGTCATCCTAACTAGAGATAATCTGGCACGACGAAACTGGCATGGTTCCAAGACATGTGTCTTTTGCCAACATGACAAGTCTATTAAACACTTAGTTTTTGAGTGCAAGTTCGCTCGGGCAGTTTGGGCCATAGTTCAAGTAGCTTCGAATCTATACCCACCACATAGTCCATGGAACATGTTCGGCAACTGGTTGCGGGGTATTGATAAACAATTTTCTGCACATATTCTTGTGGGAGCGGCGGCCTTATGCTGGGCACTGTGGCTTACCAGGAATGATGTGATTTTTAATAACAAATGTGTCTCATCTCCTATGCAGGTTATTCATGTGTGTACACGATGGCTCCGTACTTGGTCTATCCTGCAAAGGCCGAAGGACATGGACCTTTTGATGATGGCGTCTACACGGCTGGAGCGTACGGCCAGGGAGGTTTTCTACCCCCATGGATGGCGGTGTGACCTACGGATAGGATCTGCCACTCCTTAGGCTGGACATGTTTTTTATTGGCATT